TATGCTCGCCGGCTTATTTTACTGTGGACGAGTTGATCAGCGGCCGCAAGCTCTATTATTAGGGACTTTAAGCAAACCACGACGGCGACGGCAACGAGGACATGGAAAAACAAAAGATCTAATTGGTAGAACAATAGCTCAGCACGTGTGTTTTAAAACTTTGTACATTTCTTAGCCGTCCTATGCAAAACAACAACGTGAAATCACCACAATTTGCATCGTCTGCAGACCGAAACCGCGACGGCAAATTATTTTCATTTTCATTTGAGGTGTGGCGCTGTATCAGACGGTAAACAAATGAAGCCATTTTTTAAATTCTAATTAAAGGCGGAATTTCATTTTTTAGTGGAAGTCTTCTCTGGCGTTGCCGTCCTGACTGCTTAAGGTCCCTATTTAAAATGGCAGACATTTCTCCCATTCTAAGTTAACACTTTTGTTAATTTAATGAAACGTTTTTCACATCAAGTCAAAGGACAATCGTCATATCTTTCGAAAATACTGAGCTTCCCAGGTAAGATATTTGTTTTCAATTGCCTGTGGTCTGATACATCGATACTGGCACCGAACAATGTTATTCTCGGTGTTAACTGAACTACGGGTTGATTTTTAAAAGCAGGCACCGATACATTTCGATACACTTGTATATGTCAAAATATCCAACATTTTATTTAAAGAGTAACTTTGAAACTTGTTTCCTTTAATTGCCACAAGCTCGTTTCCAAAATTGAGATTATTCTTTAAGCTATGCTGGCACAAAACCTAGGTTATTCCTTGATGTAACGATTTCAGTTGACCGCTTTGATATACACTCGATTATTGATAATTCTTGTGATGAGTTCATAGTTCAGCTGATTGCTGGTGACGATAATTTTCGCCCCTATCTCAAACCGCCCCAAAGGTCTGATTGAAAAACTTCCAAGTTTCTTTGTCATGTCAAACGAATAACTGCGTGCCTCATTCTAATTGAAATTACTTGTTTTTGTTTCAGGGAGTGCATGACATAAGGAATTTGCACAGTTTTTTTGTTGTCGTTCCTACTTGTGATTGTAATGAGGTGAGGTAAAATCAAATTATAAAATAATTATAAGGTTCTCTCTGATACAACACAGTGGTTAAGTCATTAGTGATCTTAGATTTTCTCTTACAATTGCAATTAATTTTTTTAATTTTAATTAATTTTACAATTTTTTTTTACAATTTATTAAAATGAATTAAAACTTATGTAGCACAACTTTCCATGGCACATGATCAAACGTGCTTTACAATAAGTTAAAAAGACTAAAAATGAATAAAATTTACAAGCAGATAGAGAGATTTAAAATGAAATAAAATGGCAATAAATGATAAATAATAAAATAAACGAAATAAAAACTCTGCTACAAATTAAAAGCTTGTTTAAAAAGATATGTTTTCACATGGCATTTAAAATTTGAGAGTCAAGGCTGGATATCTCGCCAGGTAAATGTTCTAGAGCTTTGGGGCCATATAACAGAATGCTTTACCACCAAGTGTAGGGCGTATCTTGCCTCTTGGAACCTCAAGCATAACTTTTTTGCTGGATCTGAGGGAATATCCTGTTGATTTCTTTTGGCTGATTAATTTGCAAATATAATCTGGCACCTTGCTCCTCTAAGAGGCTGGCCTTGAATGTTTTTAAGGAAGTTTACAAGTTGTTCCATTACTTGGTGTGGTTCGTGATGAGTTCATACTTTGACAGAAACAGATTAGAGTTCTTGGGTTCAATGATAGATCCTACTCTTGTCATTATCTTGCAAATGGGTATGTTTGAATATTATAATAGATCAAACATGACAAGTTTGCAATGCAGGAAGTCAATGATTAACCAAGGCATGCTGCAGATATGCAGAATGGCAAAGTGGTTGATTGCTGAACTAGCATTTTGGTGACCCAGAGAAGCTGTAATGGGGAATTGGTCAATCATGATTACTTGTTGATTTTTAATTCTATTTCTATATGATAGCGAGGTATTTTCTCATCACGTCTCTTTTCTCATAACTGCTGTTTTACATGTAGGTTGTGATTTGGGATCAAGTGTTTTGCTCCTTTAGTTTACATGGTAATTATTGTATTTGCATTGTGTTTGCATATCCTGAAGACTAAAAGTTAGTAGGAGACTTCAGTAGTTGCCTCTCATAGAGTAGTTGCTATGGTGATATAACTATATGCTGTCCTAGGTATACACCGTAGGTGGAAAAGGTGGAAAATTTTTCTTGTTACAGCTGTAAAACTTTGGAACTCTCAACTCATTAATATAAGAGCTAGCACCAGTATAAATGCATTCAAACAGAACTATTTGTAATTTTATAAATATAATATATATATATATTATAATATATATAATAGTCGGACCCCTTTTTAATATATTACATTTAATATTACATTTACCCTTTTTTTCTTCCCGTTTTTACCATTTTTAACTGCTTTTACCTTTTTAATATTTATAAATTAGTTTTATATCTTAGAGGAGGGTCACAAGTTCACCAGTTCTGAACTGTAATGTGTCACCCTCAGTAAATAAAGTTATTATTATCACTATATTTCAGAGTTCTATTGTAAAGGGGGCTTTGGTCAAAAAAAAAAAAGGAAAAAAGAAAATTGTATTCATATTTTTCAAGGTCCATCTAACTTGTTTCAAAAACTTGATTCTTTCATGAAAATCATGGGAGAAGATGGACAATAATTTTCCCAGAATACATGTAGAAAGGTGAGAAATATATTGAGTAAATCATGATTTCTGCAGTATTTTCAACCAACCCCTGATTGTTTACGAAAATACGAAAATCCTCAAAGGAAAAACAAAATACACATTCCGAGTTTCAAAGATTTTCACGCTCAGTTAGATTGCAAGCTTACGTACGGTAATAAAAATCAAACACAGCTAACACTTGCACAATATATAAAATACAGTGTTCAAAAAAAAAAAACAGAACAAAACAGAGATGGTGAAAAATATAACCAAACTGGCATAACTGTTAAAATTCATTCTAATCATGACGGTGTCTGAGCGAATATGATCATGCTAAAGTCCATCGCGGCTCGCTCATCATGGCGATCTCCGGTCATCGCAGTAAAGCAAGCTTCAGAAACTACATTGGCCGCCCTTCGAGTGAAAAAATAAGAGCTTGCTCTGATATCCTTTCCGATGCGTTGGGTGGAAAGTCACATCAGTCACTGCAGCCGAGTTTTGCCGCGCTGTCATCCCGAGCGATCTTTATGTTCTGGTGAATTCGGCTGTCGTTCATTAAAAAAACACTCGCCTTGAACAGTTTGTTTTCTACCATGTCATGCGAAAAAACTTGCGTGTTTTTATGAGCCATAATTCGGCTGAAGTTCACTGAACATTTCACTTCAAGATTCTGTATAAGGAACTTAAAAACTTCAGGCAAAAGTGTTAAATTCGACCTGCCGAACTATTTTAGTTTGTAAACTATCGCAGAATGTGAACTTTGATGGTTTTTTAATTTTGATGGTTTGACACTTTTGACAGCTTTAGTCTTGTACAGCCAATCAGATTATTTGAACTATTCTAACAGGGATTCTGATTAGCTTATTGTAGCGTGCTTTATGAGAGTATAGAGCATACTGACGACACTGTCGATCGCTTTGGAAATAAAGTTTCTTTTGAAAATTGAAAGTAATGCTTGGGGGATCTAACGGATTCTTTATTATAAAACAAATAGAGAAGCAAGAAGTAGGGAGAAACACTCGACTACGTCTCGTGCTTCTCTCTACACTTCTTTCGTCCTCTAGCCGCTTCCTGCGTGCTTTATAACAGAACAGAGCACAGTCAAGGCTTCTCTATTTTTTAAACATTCAATCATAATCTACTGATATTTACTTCTGAAGACTACTTAAATACTGAGACTTTCTTCCGATAAAATCACACTTCCTAACTCTGTTAACATTGCCAAAATGGGATTCCCTGCACTCATGATCTTTTTATCTTCTTTTCCAGGTGTCTTCTAAACTAAAGCTGTGTAACTTGAATGTCTTACAATTAAGACTTTGGACCTGATTTCTTCTTTGTAAACTAAGTAATTCACAACGATAATAAAATGTTCCAAACAGTATTTTCGTAGTTTACTTACTTGTGTACCATTGACAGTAACATACAGTCCTGTCCTTATAACTGTTCTGATTTGCCCATGTCTCAACTTTCACATCTGTTATCAAAAGATGCAGAAAGCAAGAGCTTCCCACCTACTTGGGTCATTGGAGATACAGTCCATGCAGGCACTTAAATTCCAGAACCTGAATTTATTTTCATTGTTATCAACATTTACCACTTGACGTTGTAAGCAGAATAAAGATGTACTTATCATGCCCCTTATAGCACAGATGTAAACACAATATAAATTGCACAGATCTCAGAACTACTGGCTTAAGAATCTTTTAATGTAATATTTACACATAATATTTGATAGCATAAATATGTTGCATCAAGATAAATACATCTACTTAATGCATAATTATAAGACATCACTTAGAGTTACTTTTCATGTTCATGTTCATGAATAAAAAATTATTTTGATCATGACACTTGACACACAGAAGCTACAAATGGAAACATTTTACATTTAACTGTCAAGGTCTGATCAAGATTCTTAACCAAAAGCCTTTGTGGTTGGCTATTGAAAAATTCAAGATTGCAATATTGTTTGCTTTGAGCTAATGTTGTTAAATAGCACCACCTAGTAAATAAAGTCCTGATAAATATTTAATATTCAGCCACATTATTCCTCTTTAACTGAAAGTACTTACAAGAAACAAGATGCACTCATCATTGGGATGATTAATAACAATTATGTGTATGTAAATGTTTCTTCTTACTGACGTCCTTGTTTTTTTTTTTCTTTTTTTCATATGCAGAAGTTGTTTTCAAAAAGCTCTTTATAAAATTCAATGGCACAAGTGAATGTTTAAAATGGTTTTTGAAAACATTAAGCATTTTGTATTTTTTTTTGTTTGTTTTTTTCCTCTTTGAGGTTAATGTTATGAACTTTAAAACTGTTATACAAAAGATGCTGACAGGAGAAAATTAATGTCAAGGATGTTATTAAAGGACTGGGAAATGATATCATGCAGGGCAATGTTTGCTGTGTAAAACATGGTATTGCTGTTTGCAAGTCAGAGTATGACTCTTTGTTGTGAAACTGGGAACATATTAAGTTATTAAAGTTACCTGCAACTTTGCTTTGTGTTTTTAAAATGTTGTCTAAAGTGGCTTCTAGCATACTAGCCAAAGAAAAATTGTCAGTTCATTTCCCTGGCTTTCAACATAATGAGATACTAGAGGCCTTCAGCTTGTAGTTAGTTGCTTGTTCCGTGTGCCCTGTTTTTTGCAGAAGTTATACGGAATCTTTTTGTTTTTTTTGTTTTGTTTTTTTAAGGTGGGGGGCTCTCTAAAGACCTAACAGCTGAAGGTTATGACCAGTTACTTAATTATTTCTCATTTCAAGCTTGCTGAATGATATCCCTCATTGTATAGTGCGTAACTCCCATGGCCAGTTGCAAATATGGGTGGCCACATCATACCTTTTGCAAGTAACAAGAGCTTCTACAAAGCTTCTCATTGAGGGTACTGTTAAAAAGGTACTTAATTTACCAATAAGACTAACTGTAGGACTTCTTCCTGCTCTGTAATCAGTGTCTATTAGGTCCAAGTCTTCTTCTGAAACATTCAAGGTTTGCCCAACAGAGCGCCAATTTTTCTTTGTCTGTTTCTCCAGTGGATCCAGCATCCTTTGCACATAGTGCAATAGTATTTGATTTTCATGGTTATGCAGCTGTGGCATTTCAGAGACTTTGCAATCTAAGAGTTCAATAGATAATGATGTTAACAGAGTTTTTTGTAGTACCATTGGTGGAAAAAGGCATGCTTCAATTGTTAAGAATTCCCAAGGATTAAGAATAGTTTTTTGGTTTATTTTTAGGAGTACAGTGTTCAGCAGTGAAGGAAACTTAATCTCTGTAGTCTAGGTACTACAGACTAACTCAGGGGATGAGTTTATTTCCATTTTAACACCCATTCACGAGGCTACAATTGTGCATTTTATTGCACCAAGCTAAGAGGAGGGTACATGTAAGAGATGAAATGCAACATCTGAATGACTAATGGCACAGTCATCGCATGATCTTAATTGCATAACAAGAATAAACAAGTAATCAACTTGGTCTACCAAATGGCAGGATGTACACCTCACCTGCCGGAATCAGATCAGTTTTTGGCTGGTCTTGTCTAAGCTCACTAATGAGAGGCTCTTGATTGTCATTAGCTTCTAGCACATTTGAGAGACAAAATAAAATTAAGAAGCACTTCAGTAATCCAGAATACAACTTGCTGATTACCATAAAATTGGAAAAATCTTAATCCTCCAACTCCCTAAAGTGATTAACATGCAACTTCTTCCTGTAATATCCATACATTATCCAGCAAATAGGTAATGAGAATAATCAAATTTATCAGGTAGAGGTTATCTTGATCCCAAACCAAATTCTTGTAACAAAACTAAAGGGAAATGTGTAGCAGCTAGAGGGGAAAATTAACAGTTAGAACTGGAGAGTTAAAGGGATTATTAACTCTTTGATTCTCAAGATCTGATTGTCAATTCTCCCCTCTTGAAGAAAAGTCTGCTCAAGAGATGTACATCTTGAAATAGATTCATTTTTGTCCAAAAGCTTGTCAGCAGAATGCGTGATGCATAAATATTATGATGGTTATCATTACCTTCTGCGGTTTCTGTTAAGACATCTCTATCTTCGGCACCTTGCATACCTCTCAGGGGTATACACTCGTTGGAATTTGTAACTGCAACATAGCATAAATTATTGTCTCAAAATAAAAAGATACAGGACAGGGTTGACTCAAGGGTATAATTGGTATGGAGGCTCTGGGTGATGGACTCCTGCTTGAGGACAATTGACATATGATGGTCATAGTATAATCACTATTTTCTAAGTTTCAATTTGTGTACATCCGTGTGAAATAGCACTTAAACATGATTATGATAAGAATTCATTAAATTACTCAATTTTCTCAAAGGGTCTACTTATTCCATAAATGTTACAAAATATACTTGCGCAATTAAAGAAGAAAAAAGTATATCTTTTTCTTACCGTTTGGATGCAAACGTTTAAAGTAGTAGTAAATGATTGCACCCAAAAAAAATATAATGGCAGTCCCAATAGCTATCAAGGCTATAAATGTAGATGTCACTGTTTCTCCTTCTTCTTTTGTTGATCTCTTGTCTGTACCTGTCTTTGTTGTTGCTGGAAGTGAATTGTTTTTTTCGGATTTGAATACAGGTTTCCTGGTGTCTTCTTCACTTGAAACCATACCAGTCAAGTTCAAGTTAAAATCAAAGACAGCGAGATCAGCACTAGAAGTAGGTGTGGTTACGTCATGAGTAGTTGAAGTAGCATTTTCTGCATTTTTCTCCCTTATTTCCTTGCAAAGCCCATTCGTTTGGGATTTGAGGCACTGCCAGTCCCTGCTCATTCCAATGTCTTTACAGTTTTTTAGCCTGGAAGACTCGGGGATGTTGGAGCAGCAAAAATAGCATTCATGGCAAAAACCATTGTCGCCCAGAAAATGTCTTTCAGGGCACTTGTTTCCACATCGACGGTTTTGATAAAGGGTACACTGCTGGATAATGTTCCTTAATCCACAGTCATGACAGGGTCTGCAGCTTTCAATGCTGTGTGTCTCAGAGAAAGTCACATTCTCTCTGCAAGGTTCACATTTGATGATGGTGTAGTTTGAAATCTTTGAACCGCATAATGGTGTGAGTCCCATTCCTGCTGGGCACTTAGGACATGCTTTGCACTCCATTTGAGCTTCTGGAGCATCGGGAAAGTATCGTAAGAAATTTTGCGCAAGGGAACATCTTGCTGGCCTTCCAGACACAGATCGTGACCACAATATTAGTAACAGGATCAGCTAAGATAAAAATATCAGCATCTATTAATTGCAAACCTGCACAAATTCTGTTCAGAAATATTAGACAAAGAGAAAAAGTATGCTATAAATGTTGGTTAGAGCTACATTACATGTTTAATAAAAACATAACTTCAAGTACAATATTTTCAAACAACAATGAATTTTAACATTTCTTAAAAACCTAACAAGTTATTCAATATTTTCAGCAGAGATAACCAAGTGTGAGCAACTCTGTAACACAGCAGTGGGAAATTATCTCCATATTTATTAACTTGTTTGATTGCTTTCAGTCTGTGTTGCTGGTTTTCTGCTGAAAATCCTAGTTGAAAGGCAGCTTTATGGTGGCGTAATTCTTGCTATGCAAGATGCCTAGTTATCTTCAAAATTATGCAGCATAATTTACCCATGCCTTACCAACAAGTACCATATTTATTTCATTAAATGCTGCCCTAAAATACATGCCGCATTTTAAAACCAAAATATTAATAAACACTGCCCACGAATAAATGCTGCATCATCATGCACTGTTTATTTACATAATAAACTCAAAAGCACACAGTGATCATTGCTTCAATTACAATTGGAAATTTTGAGTGAATCAAACACAACTCCTTTTGAATGTATTAGTTCTAATGTTGAGAAAGCATATCCAACATAAGATCTTTATTCTCCTTATGTATTGCAGTGGTATTAACATGCAAATTGTCAAATTGAGAACAATATAAATCGAAGGAAATAGTGAATAACTCGTCACGGATACATTACGTTTTAATGGATTTTGGAGATAATTGAACTCCTCTTTACAATAACATACACTTTTACACGTAAACATGGGTAGCCAATGGGTAACTGGATAGAGTTAAAACTACTTGGAATTTCTTGGAACTGCTCTTTTGATGTTGAGTGAATAGTCAGAATTCACATGCTGGCTATCGTTTAACCTACACCATTCCTTAACTTCACTTTTTGCCATTAAAGCGTATACTATAGCAGATTTCTAATGTAAAATTTGTATGAATGTGCTGCAGGTTGTGAATGATTTACTCACTCCATTCTTGCATGACAAGTGCATCAGCCCATGTACCCTGATATATTAGTTAACACCTTGACCATCAATGGTCTTTACTACTTTCGATGAATCTTTCTGAATTGTTTCTCATATATTGAACACCAGTACTATGAACATTCATGTGATAGCTAGGTTCACCATACAACTGATGGTACATAACTCTAAAGAAGCAATCACCGGCACCACCAACATCTAATATTCTATTGCCATGTTAAGTTAACCGAGATTGTAACAATGGATATCATGGACTGATTGGTCGTGCTACTGATGTTTCTAATAGCTTTGTTTGACCTCACGTTGATTCATACTTAAGCTGATATGGGTGCTCATAGGTTCCCTCATCAGTTCGATCAAAGTTTCGCTCTTCAGATTCACTCGTAAAAGGCTCACCATTTATAAACCCCCTATAGGCTTGGAGGATCGACGAGCAAACGTCTCAAAGAGTCAAAGACTCTTCGCAGTTAGCGTCTACACTCATAGTACTAGACAAAACTTTAACACAGCTTTGACTCGCTTTCACATATGCTGACTGCGACGAGTATTGGTCGAAACTTCCTCGATGAATGGTCGAATTATATTTCAACGTCGCGGCATTTACTTCTGAAAGTCTAAAGTCGATATGTATTATTGCGGAAAATCAATTGGTCTGCCGTTGACATATCGACTTGTTTACATCTAAGTGAGTGACAAATTTGCATACTCTGACCCCTAACAAACTATAACTAGTGTTTGCCCGTTTGCGCGATTCCTTAGATATTCCTCCTTAACATATTCGTTCTTAGGAGGCAACTGGAGAGATTCAGAGAGGATGGAAACTTCAGCCTTGCCTAGGAATTTATTCATTTGGCGGCAGTTACACTCTCAGTGGATAGCTGTGCGAATAATATCAAATTAATTAAACGTTTAAATCAAACGCATTACAAAGAGACAGCGACCTTCTACAGTAATACGCGGACTTTTCTACATGCCATACACTTCATGTCATTCCCTTATAATCACATCGCCAACGAAAGTCATTAAAAGATGTCCTAATAACAGCTAAGCTTTCAGGTAAGAAGATTTAAAAGCGCAAGCGAATGACAGGAGTCGCACAAGCCTATCGACACCTTTCAACGATCGACTGCCTCCTGCTTTTCGGCTTACCCAGCGTGTTGCCGTGTGCATTGTAGAGTTGTTCACTGGTCAAGGTACTCCTTTCATTGCTCTAATTCAACTGTCTTTCATTCAAAGATCAAGATAGTACATTTACCATACAACAACCGAGATGTTTCATCGAATAAATACGGTACCTACAAATATTCTCTTACCTTAATAGCGCCTTTCATACTGTGCTTGTCATCATAAGTGAGTTTGCGTCCTTTGTTAACCTGTGTCAAGAAATAAACATGCAAACTCAGTTGAGTCTCGCCGAAAGTATACCAGAACATAGTTAAACAACTGTAGATCGAGCAAGTGTAAATTTAAGAGTTCAATCACTTTTGTTCACTTACCGATCTGTACTGCTTCAATTTTGTACTCTCCATGCTGAAAATTATGGAGTTGTCAGTCTCGATAGCATCAATTTCCATCGATATAGAGCCGTTATACTTAGAACGCTTTTGTTTAGCCCTAATGAACAGTCTTAATGGCAGAGGGGAGTTATGGGCTTGCAAAAGACCGAAAAGTTCATTCTAAATTGGTTAATCATTCATCCATGGATTGAGGGTTTCCTGTAGGTGACACCGAGTGTGGACGTTTAGAGAATTATTTATGGAGTGAGGGGGTCGGCGTAGGTGGGGGGATTCCCCTTTTCTTTATATAGTTATAATCACGGAAGGTGATTATTCAACTCGATAGAATAAGAACTCCATTTTCTCCACTTTCCAAACATATTTTCTGAACACTCTCTTTTCTTTTCCTGGGAAATTCGAGGAACTGATAATGTCCAAAGACAAATATACGAGGATATATTCGGGCAAAATAAAGTCTATAAACAGAAATAAGATACTACGTGTATGACGTGTACATAAAAATAAAGAGCTAATGAAAATTGAATGTTAAACTATAAAATGTCTCTATGATGTCTAAATATCAAGCTTCAAAAAAATTGTTAAAATTATAACGAAAATGGAATGCTAGGTATGCCAGGTGTTCTTTTATTATAAAATGAATATCAAACTATAAAATGTCTCTCTAATGTCTAAATATCAAACTATAAAAATCTGTATAAAATTATGACGACCACAAAAATCTCTATAAAATTATGATGAAGATAGGATACGACGCCTAATCATCAGAGTTGGAAATTACTCAGGACAACTGTGCTCACTCGTAGGCTATCGAGCCGAACACTCGACGAGTATTACAAATCCCCATAGAAATAAACAATTAGATACAATTAAATATTTAAATGATAAAAAATATTTAAACATAAATCACCTTAATAGTTTATCACAATGGACGAAAATATATTAAACATTTCTGAACGCATTAATTGTTGAGCACATTGTTAATTGTTTATCAGCCAAGCTGACCATTGAAAAAAGTGAAGTTGTATTAACCAGAGGGGTGGATTTCTTTTATCAAAAAACAAAACAGGCAATGGGTAACAAAGCGGACCTAAGAGGGTAGAACATCTAATTCTCAGAATATTAATAAGGATCAAAATGCACCGATGAGAACGCGCCATAACACACTGTTACGGGTGTCGATGTAGAGCAGGGTTGTTCCTAGACAAAACTCAGGATCGTCGGTAACAGCAACAAACTGATTAATTTCCACGTAGTTGGCTTCTCGACTTTACAGCACTAAGCTTCTTCACAATTCTCTGTTTTTTTGTTTTGTTTATTTTTTGATAAAACTATCGCTCTTATATACATAAAGTCCAAGGATCTAGAAACTTCTCTAAAGAACTAAATTCAGTAGATTAACACAGTTTCTAAATTTGAGTAATTACATAAGAAATAGAACATTCCAGAATCTTCTTATACAAGAAGGTCACGGGAAGAGAAGAGTCAGACTTATCAATACACGATTGATAAGCCTGACTTTTTTACCTCGAGAGACAAACGACTAAACTTTCATTTATTTATTAGCTTTGCGTTTTTTTGCTTTTTTCTTTGTTTTGTTTTGTTTCGTTGCTTTATTTAATAAATAAAAGCACGTGATGCATAAAGCCCAAATAAATAATAGGTTTCTCGAAGCTACCTCACAAATATGCAAAAAGGATAACATTATAGAAGTGCGTACTAATAATACGGCCTGGGGCTAGTATTCGGATGTTACGGAACGCACTTGGGTTGCGTTGATTGTGTGACCTTCAAAAGAACGGCTGGCTGGGGAGAAAAATATCCTTAGGATGGTTTCTGGACCGTATCTGGTTGCTCATGGTTCTCCAGTTCAGTACAGTTACGTTTCTCCCATGGCCAGTTACAAATATATTTGGCCACGTCACTTCTTTCACAACTGATCAGAGCTTCGACAAATTTTTTCATTGAAGGCTCTGGTGTAAAATTCTTCAATGTTTCTATAAGACTCTCCGTAGGACTGCCGTTTGACTTATATTGAAGTTCCAGTAAGTCTAAGTCTCCCTCGGTAACGTTTAAATGATGTCCCACTTGTCGCCAATTTTTCTTTGGCGGTGGATTTGGATCAAGCATGTCTTGAATTTTGTGCAGCATTAGTTCATTTCCATTACGAAGCGTAAACATTTCGGAGACATCACAACCTGAAAAACAGAGTTACGTTTAAAAAACAGACCTGTTATTTGTAACATTAAAGTTGTAACAAAAGGATAAAGCAAATTTTAGCTAGTAAAATGCGTGATCTACTATGGGTTTCCTTCATTCTGAGAATAACCCTCGCCACCACACAATCACTGTACATAATATCATTAACATTGCTAATTGTGTAATCTCGAAAGGATAAACGAGGCGTCGATAAAACTTTCAGTAGCCTGTGCTGAAAGTTTTTGCATTTAAAAGACTACAGAGGGAGAGTAATTCGGCTTATTTATTTTCTTTTTCGGAGAATTCAGGATTAACTCTTTAATCCCTGAGAGTGACTACCATCACCTAATTTCTCATTTCAATGTCACCCCTGAATCAAACATTAAGGTCATGAGAATAAAGGAAATGATAATGAACTGAAGAACCTCATGATTGTTAAACAAACTTCCTTGCCAGCACATTAGGAAATGTATAGAGAACAGTATGGAGAATATGCATACTGGTGTTAGAGTGTGTAAGGATTAATGTGAAGAAGGAAGGGCTGACTCCTCACCTGTTGGAATGAGTTCAATATTTGGGCTATCATTCATGGGTTGTCCAAGGAGAAACTGCTCCTGCTCATCTACTCGATTATCTGCGAGAAAAGAATTATCAATTATTCAAAAGTCTAGAAAATAACCGACCCTTATCTCTTTTTAGCTTAGCCCACAACCACTGGTTTTAAAAAGGATACGGCCATGATGAGGTCAACCATGAATAGGGGCCTAAAAAAGCTAATAACTGTGGTAAATCCTAGCGAAGAGTGTGAGGCTTTTTACATCTGTCAGTATATGATAACTCAAGACAGTGTACTTATTTGCTGCTCAGAGTAACTTAAGCTGAATTTTCTTTGGTACAGATGCCACTCCAGTACTATGTAAACTATCATCACTGTCAACTAAGTACCATGCCAAAATTTGTGAAAGTAAGTCTGACTACCCATACAGTGAACAGTTCCGCTATTGACCTCTCTTCCCTCAGATTTTGTTGTCCACTGACAGCTAAGGAGAAACTACTGCATGAGCATAACTTATCAGTTTGCTACAATATCATGTTGCGTTTGTTGCAATAGGAATTCAGTTCCTAAAATACTATCCTCAAAAAAGATAACAATAGTGTTGCAAGGTATGACTCTCTCTTACCTTCAGAATACAGTGCTGAACCATTCCTATATGTAATGATCCTTTTTAACTCCATAAAAAGCAAAAATAAGCACTAAAGCAATCAGTATGATAATCCCAGCTATTACTGAAGGTTTTATATTTCCATTTGATGTAAAATTTTCAGATGATGACGTAGGTTTCCTGACATTATCATTAGAAGTACTCTCCGTTTTATTTGCTTCAAAATTGTGACCAGGAAGAAGAGTAACAGCCGTGGCATTAGTTGTATTAACACTAGCTTCTGTAGAATTTTCCAAAGCTTCTTTGCAGAGCTTGTTTTGGTCGTTCTTAAGACACTGCCAGTCTTCTCCCATTACAATTTCTTTACATTTCTTCATTCTACTTGTTTCGTCCACACTGGGACAACAAAAGTAGCACTCTTGACAGAAACCATTGTCATCGAGGTAATGTCTTTCAGGGCACTTGGTGCCGCATTTACGATTTTGAGATGGCGTGCACTGCTGAATAACGTTCTTTAAGCCACAGTCGTGGCAGGATCTACAACTCTCAAAGCCATGATTGTCTGAAAATGTCTTATTCAGTTGACATGGTTCGCATTTAATAGTGGTGTAGTTAGTGATCTTGGAACCACATTGTGGCACAAGTCCTAGTCCTGGAGGGCATTCAGGACACGCTATACACTCCGTTTGAGCTTCCGGATCATCCGGGTAGTATTTCAGGAAGTTTTCCATCAAAGGACATCTTGTGGAACGTCCTAACACAGATTGTGACCACAAGACTATCACCAAGATCAGCTGAAATTAAAGAGAAGTAAAAAATTTTGATAAAAAAATTTAAGAAACTGCGACATAATACCCAAATAAGTACGGTTGCATTCGGCAATTTGTCTCGAGTCGAAAATTTTGATCGGAAAAAATTTAATCTAAATATGATCTCTTTTAGCCAATCTTGCCACCGAGGTAACCTGTCAGACTGTTGTGTACGTAACCGGCAGTGACTGATGTAAAACAAAAACTTCGAATCTTCGTTGACTGTTTACAAACTGAATAGATCAATGACATTATGAAGTCCATATGCTATGTGTTCTAAACTTCTTCAAGAAATCGAAACTGGATAAAGAGTGCGAAAAAGGTTACAGGAATACTGATGTGCGTACGAACTGCAGGGAACAGAGTATTTGGAAATATTCACCTTTATGGCGCTCTTCATAGGCTTCATGCCACCATTGTTATTTTTGCTTCTTTTGTTGCCCTGTGAAAAGAAATAAGCACGTATGCTTAGTCGAACTTTGCTAAAAGTCTGCCAGAGTTATTCGTATGTTGACTAAGCAACTGCAAAATTCGAGGATCGAGCAATGGCTACCCTACCGTTTGTATACGGCTTAGCTTGTGTATTTCTTCACATCAATGTCGATAGGCGAATAATTTCGTCGACAAAATGCTTCCTAACAATAAGTTGATAACTCAGGAAATACGGCATGTTAGCCGTAGATGACAGTCTTTTATAACGAGCAAAACGGAAAAAACAAGTACGTCATCAATATATTCAGACGCCACTACGTGACTCATTAGCCCACGAATTTCTGAGTTAAATTACATTGCATCTCTTAGGAATCAAAATGTTGCCTTGTGTTATACATTAAAAGATACTTGACATGAAGGAAGATGGTGATGCTGAGTCTCGAAATACCAGTGGCCAAAGAACATTCGAGATGATGACAGGCTCGATCATCTTCGATCTGAACCATTCCATTCTCTTAGAGTGAGGTCACACACAGTTTTGGAAGCAGACAAAAAATTGCACTGTTTCATCATTCAAATGCAAATACGCATTTGAAAAATCAATTAACTGCAAGATAAATATTGCGTGACCGCTTCCGTAAAGCTGAATATCATACCGCTTCCGAGCGAAGCTGCGAAATATTAACTGGTTTGATTGACGCGTCCGTGATAAGTGCCTTTAGACTGAAAATTGTAGCTAGCGTTTCAGTTCAGGATAAGACCCCGTGTAATCAAGATCGTTTCTGGAATAGAAGACAAGTCTTATACCGGAACACCCGATAAAGTAATCAACACCCGCCAAGGTTGCTAAGCAACAACTTATTTTGTGCTTACGTTACCCGGTAGTTGTGATTCAAAGCGAAACTTGTCGCTAGTTTTTATCTCTCTATTTTGGTTCCTTTAATTGCCAAAAGCTCGTTTCCAAAATTGAGATTATTCTTTAAGCTATGATCACACAATACTTAAGTTATTCCTTGATGCAATAATTTTAGTTGACTGCTTTGATATAAGACAAAGGAATAAAGAAAGAACGATCCTACATAGGTTTGGTGTCTATCATATGCATGTGTATCAACCCGGGAATTGAGATTCAATTCTACCTTGATAAGAAACATTTACATAATGTGACATTCAAAGTGTAGTTATCAGAACTAGGTACGTCTGAAGTCGTCGGTGACTCTCGCCTGGGTCGACCAAAAACTATTGATCAGCATTGTTGTTACTGAGTCCCTTTTTACCACTGTAAGCTTCTAAATCCATTGCAGAGAGAGGCATAGATTTCACCGCGGCCATTACTGAAACAGAGAACTGAAGGTAACTTCATGCCAATTAAGCATTTTTTTATTTATTTTGAAATTACTGCAAGATCACTGATTCGCCAGCCTTCGATAGTTTGACTGCACAACTCGCATGGACACGAGAGATATTTAGGGTTGATTCAGCGCGCATTTTCACAGTTTTCAAAAATTCGGCAATATGTAAAACTTTGAAAATACGAGTGAAGAGGCTTACGAAGTTAACGTGTGTCCAAGACTTAGTTAGTGCAATGCCTGACCCCCTCTCCCGGATAAAGACGCTCCACAGGCCTCTATCGTGAATTTCTTTTTGTTGCTAATTGTGTAAAATTCCTATCTTATGACTTTACCGCGACAACGGAGAAAGGTTTGACAAATTTCCTATCAATGAATCAAAACGTCTATCATAAGGTACCTGGGTGATGCCCAGGGCTTGCTTCTTAGAATTACACTGTCTAAGGGTTAGTTAATAAAATTGGCCTGATAGGAGAACGACTATTTGCAGCTTTTATTTTCCGGAAAATTTAACCTCATGCTGCCTCGACGACTTGTGCCAGCCCAAGTTTTGCTGAGTCACGTTAAAAAATATCGAGCGAGCCCTACAAGCGGGCTGTTACCTCAGGAGTGATTAATTCACTCTTTTTTCTTTAATTTCTGTGCCCTGAAGATTTTCTACTCTCGTTTACCACAAAAGAGGACTCCAAACTACAGTCAAGATAGTTTTTTTCAGCATTTAATGGTTTACTACCCAACTCATAAACAAAAATAATTTCGTTGCGTCTATATAAGTTTACTATTTTATCTTAGATTGCTGATTACCATTTTTCAAAGGGCATGACTACCTAAGTTGCCCACCAATATTTAATTGCCAGTTCCCGGATCTTGATTGGAAAAGCGGATACGGGCAAGCACAGGTTACAAATGGGGGCGTAGCTTGGATTTTTTAAAGGTTTCCTCGGATTTGTCTGTTTTTGAAAACCTTAAGTATAAGTTTTGTACAGAATTGATAGCAAAAATATATTTTAAAAAAAGTAACCTCACATAGGAGTTTTAGGAGAAGCACCCCAGGAAACATCACCAAGCTATGCCCCAATACATAAACTAGAAAAGGATTATTACAACCATACAAAACTCATTACTACCTCAGAATTGATCACTGGGAAGGAACCTTTCGATTGAGTGACGTGAAATCAAAAGCAAAGTAATCGCACTGGCCAATCAAACAACTTTAATTTCAGCGTTATAACTGAGAAACCTGTGAGAAAACTTAAAGTCTGTAAATTAACGCATGAGAGCTGCTTTGTGCTCTTGGAAAAATCTCTTTTAATAATTCGCGATTGGTTTCAGTTTTGCATCTGGCTATGTGGTGGTGCGAATTTCTCGACGGCACAATGAAATATCAACAAGTCAAGTTACTTCGACACTCGATGGAAAAGTAATTAATCTGACTAAGCCAAGTTTAAAACTTCGGCGGGTCACAAACAGGATGACCTCAGAGCATGCATAATATCGAAAATATCCTTGTTAAAATTGATTCAGCACGCAGTGCTTACTTTCTTCTCAATGTGAGATCAAGCAATGCCAAGTGAATTAGGCTGTAGTATTTTCTCAGCCTTTCATAGTAAATTGAAAACCGAAATTAAGGAATACCATAAGGAAAGATAACTTCAGACAACCTTCCGTGTTCTATACCACCGGCCTGTTTGAAATTTGAAACATTCAGATATATAGGATACCGGCATATTTTGCTACAATAAAGAAACTCTGACCATGCACAACATTAAAAAAATTTCGTCCTCAATTGCACTTAAGAGCGTTACCTAAAATTATTTACAACCTTACAACTAAGAGCAAGATTAAAAAAGGTTACAAAAACCTAGAAAAATTATGTAAAATTTTCATCGAACTACCTAACATAAATTTCAATACAAAAATTGCCTAAATCTTCAAAACACCTGTTTAAAACGATTCTGTAGTCTAATCTTAAAACAAAATCTCTCGAACAACGTGTATCCCTACTTTCCAAAAATTTTGTTCAAATCACTTTGATTTTACTAAATACACAAAATCAGTTAAGTTATTTACAAGACCGACTCAATAACTCTCAACTGTCACTGTTCTTAAAGTCCATGCGTGGTACATGATGTTAAAGAAACACCCAACAGTCTCCTGGGTATTGTCAATTCTTACCCTCCTCTGAACATCTGTCCTGTTTTTTCCTAAACCAGCTGATAATGTCGTTGGCAACATCGTTGCGTTCCAGCTCCTGGAGGACGTCTACGAACTCTTTTAGAGTCGCACATTTGGAACTACACAACTTTTCAATCAAAAGCCTTATTGCGCTTACTCCTGGCTTCCTGCTCTCTATCTCCAACAGCTGAATGTCTTGTTTGGTAATTTCATACCCGTAAGCGACATGTTTCCAGTTCTTTTGGACTGGCGAGGAATCAGAATCTAGTTGCAGAATAGAGTCCTCGACATCATATGGAAAGTCGGCGAGCTTGAAGTCTAATATAACGAAAGAACAATCAAATTGACAAAGTCAAAAGGAAAAAAAAGTAACAATTATAATCATCATCATCATCATCATCACAATAATGCTCATTTGAGGACACCCCCGGTGGAAGCTGCCCGCTAACGCCTAGAAGACGAGTGGGTACTGCAGGCGGGAACAGGGAGTAATGGAGGCTTCTTAAGTTGCTAATAACATTGATCTTACACTCAAAGGACAAGGATTCATTACTTGTCACTTATTTCCATACCTTCGGGGATGTCATTCGTAAGAACAAAATCTTTGTCGTCTCCTTGACCATCATAGGGAACTGTAATCGAATGAATTTAATTATGGTGAATTCACTGACAATTTGGCTTAAATGGAAAGGTATGATGATAGGGGAGAGAGTGTATGTGGTTCATTCAGTTTGGCCCTCATCAAACTTAACGGTTAATATCAGGCATTTTGTTTTGCAAGTCTTGTTTAAAACTATAAAAAAATAAAACCTTTTGATTGCATTAGATATCAGAGAAGAGGCAACAGCGCTCATGAGGAACTGCGCCAAATGAAGGGCTTTGTTCAGAGAACTACTTCACGGGCGTTTAGCTATTACCATTTTGGTCAAACGGAGACTAAAAGAATCCAAGAAGGCAATTTCACAAGGAAACAATAGTGCGGTTTTGGCTTCCATTTATCTGAGTGCTAAAGAAAATCAAATAAACTTAGTAAATAGGCACGTGAAAATTTTGAACCACCCACCATCTAAGGACTCACTTCCTTGAGAAGCCATTAAACTTTCAGCAGAGTCAGTGTTGTTTTGAAACGAGCCAACGATTTCTGAAAATCAAATAGTGAAAAAAAAAAAAAACCCAAATGAGATTGTCTTCAGAGTTAGAGTGACTCATACAGGTACCTCCTCAGGGGTCATTTTGTCTGAGCGAAGGGGGAACGGGAGTGTTCCACAGGTACCAAAAAGTATGAAAAAGAGATAAAAAGGGGGGCATTTTTTCACACACAACATTTAGGTCTATACGTCTGGCCCGGTGGCTGACCCTTCCTTTTTTCAACCGACGATTCACTTCAAAATCACAAGTCTTGACCAAGTTCTGACATTTTTAACGAGGCCTGGCTATCAACATCTCTACCAGTAATACTGATTACACAAAAAAAGCAATATTCCTGCTGACAAATGTGTAACCCTTTTGGAGAGGTAAAGAGTTCTCAAAAACTGTTTGGGAAGTTGTAAGAACACGGAGAGGTTCGAAAGAGGAAAAAAGTAGTCATCCTCAAAACAGTGAAGAAAACGTACACAAAATTCAAGGTTTGCCAACTAGCTGAGTAGCTGTAAAGTAATTTGGGGATTAGAACTCCGATCAGGTCTACGGAATCGGCCCTTTTCCTGGTAAACGAATGGAAAATTGTCAGCATCATAATCTTACCTGGCAAAGAGCGGCTCGGTGAATTCTCAGTGTCTCGTAAGGGGTTCAGTAGTATTCCAGCAGGATCTGCAACAACAAATTAAAAATCATTTTGAAAACGATCTGCGTTCCTTGTGCCAGGTCACTGAGTGGAAACGGTCAAAAAGTGAGCAAGCCATAAGCGATAGAATCTCTTTTTGCTCATTCTTTTCGACTACGTATGAAATATTCAGTCCTCTGTGCTTCAACTTTCCATTCCAGAGAAGACAGGGTGGGTTAACTATTGAAGACTCGGGCTTTTATCATGATATCTGTCGCGTTGCGAAGGAAAATGTTACGAAAATATATATATTTCTAGTTAGCAAATTATGGATCCCACTCAAGTCACTCAAGAGGGCTATTAGGCCAAGGCTCCTTGTCACTTAGATTATTTAGAACCCTTCACTAACGCTTTTCCTATCCTCATTTATTTTAGTATAATCCTACCTGTCTGTTCTGGCTTTGTCTTCTCAGAAATTCTGCATTTTATCCAGCAAACTATTGCAGTCGGTGTAAAGATGACGATAAAAACTATCGATCCTATTATTCCCAATATAGTCAACAGTGTCAAGGCTTTGCCTTTCCGTCCCTGAGTCTTTTTTTTCCCCGGAACACTTGCAGAGGCGTCGTTTCCTTTAGGTATTGGAACTCCTATACCTCCAGGAATCGAAGTTGATACGATTCCACGATACAATGACGTTGGTTGTGGCATGATAACCTGCGTGAATTCTATGCTTGTAGAGGAACGGTTTCCTAGTACCAGTGGAGACAAAACGCTCATCAGCGATGAACGCTGTGGCTTTACGCTTGGAGTCGACGCTATACTCGTCGAGGTAACACTTTCTACTGAGAATAAATCTTTCATAGACGCTACAATTGCTGTAGACGAGCCGCCGCCTAAAGGAGATGAAAGTTGTGGCCAAATGCTAGGAGAAGGTTGTATTGAAAAAGTTGTGGTTGAGACTGTTGCTGGCGTAGTTTCTCTGCAATCAGTGATGTGGCCATCAAAGAAATACCCTTTGGGACATTTACGTCCACATTTGCGATTTTGGTCCGAGGTACATTCTTGAAGGACATTTCGTAGACCGCAGTCCTGACAGGGTTTGCAGCTTTCCACTCCATGGCTATTGGAGTAGGTCACGTTTTCTTTGCATTGGACGCATTCTATCTTAGTATCATCTGTGATCGATGAACCACATTGAATGTTCAGCCCATTACCCTCAGGACACTCTGGACACGGTATACATGCTTTGAATTCACCGCTGGTACTCAGTTTCCAAAAGTTTTGAGTCATTGGACATAAGTGATGACCTTCTACCACGGATGCCATTATCCAGAGAAGAAACAGACGTTGAATTGTTTTCTGAAAAATTAAAATGAAGGCAATACAATTGACCATTCTTTACAATTTCTGTACTCAATCGTAAAAAACAGTTCATTTTAATCCGTGTGCGCTTTCTGACCGCTGTTCGGGAATTGCGCCCGTGCTCCTTCCCGCGTAGGAGGACCGAGGACTGGATCCGAAAAAACGGCGGAAATCATATTGTCTGTGACCGGAAGGAGCTATCAACTACCCAACCGGAAACTCTTTGTTTCAGCGTTAAACATGTAAATATAAGTGTGTACTAGACATACGTCGCAGTAGAGAGAGAGAGGGCCATTAATTTTTCCGTATATAATACACAGAAAACTTTGGTTGAGACTAACGAAACAAGATATAATCCTGAAAATAGGCATGTAGTAAACTTAAAATCAACACTTACGCTAACTAGAGAAATAATCACATGATAATTTGCATTAAATAATCATTTACATACTATGCAGCGGAGCGAGATGAACTTTTGGATCTAGATTCTTTTTTTCCTTTAAGAACTAAATGTACAAGTCAACGTTGTTGGTAAGACTATGAGGCGAGCAGAACTTCTATTTGTTTACAAACAACAAAACTAAACTGTAGATTTCCCCAAGGCAATGTATTAATTTGCGAAGGAAAACAATGTGCTAACTCAGCGTGATTTCAAAATGATGGAAAAAAAATATGAAATCCTTCTCTTATATATATTGGTACATTATTAATAGCTAATGAAAGGTTCAAACAGTCTTGGGAACGAACACTTACCATTTTTTATATCAACGAGAAACTCCTTTTGAAAAGGCTTGCGGCGTGACGGTTTCTGTAAACAAGAAACACACACTTTAATATCGACCGTGATATATATTGCCGGGAAAATTCGGCTAAGTTTTTACTTATCCAAGCTAAAATCTTTCAAAGTTCCTGAAGGTCAAGTCTTAGTTAGTGATCAAACCGCAGACGAGGGAACATGTCATCGCTTTCAAAGTATAGCATACTCATACCCGTTTGCAATCACGATTACGTGACGGTGTGCTTTTTGATTCTTGAAGTATGCTCGCAGTATGAGCAACAAATAAATCGCTTTTTGCCAAATTAAGTCACAGCTGTCCTCCGCTTGAGATATCTCGCCACCTTATCAGTGCTACAGGCGTATTTTGGATCGCAATATTAATTGCTTACGGGGCTTTGACAAAATATTTCTTTACTTGGGGATGACGCAAAGTGAGACGACAGGGGGCGGATCAATCAGTCATGTGATCGTCCTCTGTTAGACGTGGGTTTGCGCTAAATCTACGAAAACCTCGCAGGAAAAAAAAACAGGAAGCAATAATTACTGCATTTGTGCGTCGCAGTTACAACCTTCGAAAACACAACCACGACGGGCGTTTCAATCAGCTTTGTTATTTTGAAATCACTTGAAGATCACTTATGCACCTAGCCTGCGAAAGTTTGACAATTCAACTCGCGAGTTCATACTCCAAAATAAATGACCGCTTTCGCTTTTCGGGTGGTCTAGAGACACGACATCATTGATGTGTTTGAAAATTGACACTTCTCCTCCATTTTCCGCCAAGGGTTAATTAAATAACACTTAATTGTTTGAAAATGAGGTATTTAACCTCTGCATTATTAAAATATGGTAAAATCTGCGACCAGTAGTTTTATGAAAAGTAACGAAATCTTTTTATGAACACTTTTACAGAAGTATAAATGCTCTTACGGAGACAAACATGTTGAGTTAAATCTGTTTTATCTACAGTACAAAGAGTATAAATCAGCCTGAATAAGCTTTGTTAAGCAGAATAGACATGACATGCCTGTAGTAAGCGACCGAGATTGAGAGATCATAATAGAGATCATAGCTATTGAGAACGTGCCACTTCTCAGCGATTTTAACGCCGAATAAACATTTTATAAAATATTGCTGAGCTAGAAAATCATAGCCAAAACCGACAAATAATTGTAAACGAGCTGTTTTTTTTTTTTAACAGGATTATTCTGTTTGGTGTGTTTACTGAACGATGCGGGCTTGCTTATGGGAAAACACGACTTTCTTCTTTTTTAATCTCTTTATTTTTTTACATATTCAACAGCAGTGAAATGTCGATTATATGTTGGAGAGAAAAAAAAATCCCCTACGTTGTCTTTAGTTGGCATAATTTGAATCCTCTTTTGATTTATGTCTAATATATTTTTTAGAAGTATAGCAAATTGTTTAATTTCCAAAAAATATGTTTACTTAATTTTAGTCTGTTGTCATCGTGGCTAATATTCTTGGTTCGTGAAACGCCAAAGGCGACCGTAAGGAGAATGAAGCTAATTCTGCACCCTTGAATATCAACTGAACTACTGCACAGCTCTTGTTTTAGCATTTTAAACGGTACAGGGCGAGTACAGGAACTGTCAATGTTCGATTTTATCAACCACCGTAAAAGTCTGACCTCAGACATAACAACAACAAACGAACAACAAATCAAAATGTTGGGATTTGGTTACGAAGGTCATATGAAAATTTGGCTCAACTCTCATGTCATTCTCTCGAGAGAAGGGAAAATACACCTCTAAGAATAAATATGTACTACACAGCTCATTTTGCGTGTGATTGAAGGCGAAAAATTCAAATTGTGTAGGTTCAGAAATTAAGCATTATTTCAAATGCAAAATTTCACAGTCTAGCCACAGGAGGGGTGGTGAATGCTGAAATCCAAGACTCGTGAGACGCTGAAAATTCGAAACCGAGAACTCTACAGTTATTACCATCACTTCATTCGCATTCTTGTGTGGTACCGTAATAAATAAGGGCAAAGATATTGCATCAGAGTTTAGACATTCTCTATACGTTCCTTTTAGCGATATATCACCTTTTACATCGCATTAATTATGGACGATTGAAGGTGATCATACACAGACCTTAGTTGATCACAACCACAACTCCAAGCTACTTTACATTTAGATCCTCGCCTGTAAGAGCAAACCCTACACTTAAAGAACTTTGAAAGAAACTTGAGAGATATGAAGATTCATCGCAAAGGTCAATGAGGTTTCAAGATAGGATAAAATTAGCTAGGTGGATCGCACGATTTTTCAGGTATCATTTGCTAACAGTGGTTAGATTAGTTATGCAAATTTGTGTCTGAATAGTAGGAATAGTGCAAGGAAGTGGAGCGAGTTTGGCAAATAGCCGCTTAAGTTTATCAGAACTTGACTCTTTTTTAATCATCGATGACTGAAAGCATAATTCGACCAAAACTATTAACTAGCAATGCTATTCAAGGTCTTTACCAAAGACTTGCAATAATTTTTGTTAACGACGCACAGTTCACCGTGACTATTTACGAAGGGAGGAAGTATGCTTGCTCGGCATGAATTGCATATGACGAAACAGGAAAAAATACCGATCTTAAGCACATTCGTAAAAAGCTTTCAAGAAAGATAGCTTCTGACCGACTATGATTCAAAATCACTGTGTTTGATATTAAGGGAAAACTCTTCAGAGTCTTGAGGTTTAATGTTACGTTCTGCACACTACGCATTTCGCCACCAGCCGTGATATTTACTGCCGGAAATCTCCAGCTCTATCCCTATTCCCCGCCAAGAAACACGCAAACTGAAGCTTTTGCAGGCTTGGTAATAAATGATGATCAAACCTTTGACAGGTAAGGTAAACCTTTTGCCATTTAAGGCATACACGTACCAAAACACAAGGCTTGATTTCGTGACAATTTGACTCTTGCGCTACAGTCTCGAGAGTTGCTTTTTGGCAATTTAGTTAAAGTTGTCCTCTGCTTGTGGTAATTCACCACGATATTGGTGCCTTGGTCCTACTTAAGTTCGAATTGCACCAGGTTATGGCTCCTGATCACACCAAGTAAAAGTACTAGATGCTTACGCAGCACAAAAAGCAGTCTTCGATTTTATTTAAGCGATGACATATGCGAGTGGGCGGACCACGCAATCGTGACCCACCGGTGTCACATTTCTTAGATGTTTATCTATCTCGATAGCTCGTCTATCTAAATTTAAAGACTGTGAAGATCTGTGCTTGTGTCCGTTTTCAACCTAGTGTCTAACCACAAAGAAAATTTCAATCAGATTTGTTATGTTGAAATTACTTCAAAGTCAATGATGACTGATGATGCAATTCACGATACCTCAATTTCCGCAAGCGACACCTTTCTAGAAGGTCTCAGAGAAATAACTGAAACGTGACATCATCGGTTTGTTAGAAACTAGGCCTACATGCAAAGTTTTTAGAAGTTTCCAGTCCATGGACTTGAACAACAAGTTCACACATCTCAACGGAGATCTTTGATCAAGAACACATATTTGCATGTATCGCCAAAACAACCATAAAAAACTCATTACTGCCTAAGAATTGATCACTAAGAAGGAACTTTTCAATTAAGTGTCGTGAAATCAAAAGCAAAAGAATCACAGCGGCCAATCAAACAACTTTAATTTAAACGTTATAAGAAACCTGTGGGAGAACTAAAAGTCTGTAAACGCATGAGAGTTGCTTCATGCTCCTGGAAAAATTCCTTTACTGAACTAAGTCGCGATTGGTGTCAGTTTTGCATCTGGTTATGTGTGGTGTGAATTTCTCGACGGCGCAATATGAAATATAAACAAGCGATGTTACTTCGACACTCGATTGAAAAGTAATTAATCTGACTAAGACAAGTTTCACACTTCAGCGGGTCACATACAGGATGACTTCAGAGCATGCATGATATCGAAAATATCCTTGTTAAAATAGATTCAGCACGTAGTGCTTACTTTCTTCTCAATGTGAGATCAAGCAATGCCCAGCGAATTAGGCTGCAGTATTTTCTCAGCCTCTCTTAGGACGATAAAAACCGAAATTAGGAAACACTATAAGGAAAGATAACTTCAGACAACCTTCCGTGTTCTATACCACTGGCCTGTTTGAAATTTGAAACATTCAGATATATAGGATACCGACATACCGTTCCTACAATAACTCTGACAATGCACAAAAAAAAAAAACTTTACAACTTTATAACTAAGAGCAAAGATTAAACAGGGACCACACAGCAAGTTTTTGAGAGTGTGGGGGTCTTTTTTGGCTCCGTTACTTTTGTTGAATAATTTTTTGTTTAATTTATTTTTATTTTTGCAAAACAGTGGGGGGGGGGGGGGGGAGGCCTAAAGCCCTCCCAGCCCCTCTCTCTGCGCGGTCCCTGTTAAAAAGGTTACAAAAACCTAGAAGTTTAATTCAAAAATTTTACCGAGCTTCCTAATATAAATTTCAATACAAAAATTTCCTTTCCAAAAATATGTTTACACTATTTTGATTCCTCTAAATACACAAAATCAGTTACACGTTATTTACAAGACCGACTTAATTATGTTACGGGAAAATTTATTGATTTTCCCGTGTGTGTTATTCGGTACATATTTATTCGTAAACTTTCACATTTAACCATTTCAAGTCCTTTCATTTTAATAAATCAAAAAAATGCATAAAAACCACAGTAGCTTTTAGAATGGATTTTTATTGATTACTCGCTTTTACTATGCACCTGCTTGTCGCCACTTTTGTCATTTATTACATGGTTTTTTTTAGGTAAATATAAGTGTTAATGGTCTTTCTGGAAACATTGGTTTTCATGGTAGATAGCAGCTGAGTTTATACTCGTAACCTTAATTTCTTTTCATGCGATGGTTTCCAAACCAACCTTGCATAAATAAGCAGAAACTTTTAATTGCTTTTCCGTTTTTTATTTCCTGAGCTGCGCTACTGCAATTAAGATAGGTATTGTTTTCTATATCAGAGCTGTAAATTCGCACCTAGGTTTCCTACTTTAATGGCCTGCCGAGCCGTCTCTACCGAGTTATTTCCCCCAGTTGTTATTGTGCCGTCCGCGAGGATTCAGTTTTCCAGTTAGCGAGCGAAAATCTATCGTCACAATTATTATCAATTGTCATTGTTCTTAGAGTCCATGCGTGGTATAGGATGTCTATGAAAAATCCAACAAGCTTTGGGTATTGTCAATTTTTATCCTCCTCTGAACATCTATCCTGTTTTTGCCTAAACCAGCTGATAATGTCGTTGGCAACATCGTTGCGTTCCAGCTCCTGGAGGACGTCTACGAACTCTTTTAGAGTCGTACATTTGAAACTGCACAACTTTTCAATCAAAAGCCTTATTGCGCTGACTCCTGGCTTCCTGCTCTCTGTCTCCAACAGCTGAATGTCTTGTTTGGAAATTTCAAACCTGTGAGCGACATGTCTCCAGTTCTTTTGAACTGGCGAGGAATCAGAATCTAGTTGCAGAATAAAATCCTCGACATCATATGGAAAGTCGGCGAGCTTGAAGTCTAATATAACCAAAGGGCAATCAAATTGACGAAGTTAAAAGGAAAAAAAAAGGAACCATAATCATCATCATTATCATCACCATAATAATGCTCATTTGAGGACAACCCCGGTGGAAGTTGCCCGCTAACACCTTGAGGACGAGTGGGTACTTCAGGCGGGAACAGGGAGTGATGAAGGCTTCTTAAGTTGCTAGTAACATTGATCTTACACTGAAAGGACGGGGATTTATTACTTGTCACTCATTTACATACCGGCAATTTACCTTTTCCAGTTGCAGGGGATATCTCATAAATGGAAAGGTACGATGATAGGAGAGAGAGTGCATGTGGCCTCGTGGCACCTAAACTATCCTTTTTATCTTCGTTTAACGATTCACTTCAAAATCATGACCCCCGTCCCAGTTCTGACATTTTTAACGAGGCCTGACTATCAACATTTCTATCATTAATACTAATCACACAATAAAAGTAATATTCCTGGTGACAAATGCGTAACCCTTTTGAAGCGGTGAAGAGTTCTCAAAAAGTTTGGAAAGTTGTGGTAATACATGACGAACACGTACAAGTTCGAAAGAGGAAAAGAGTAGTAATCCTCAATGCAGTGAAGACAATGTACATAAAATTTAAGGTTTGCCAACTAGCTCAGTAGCTGTAACGTAATTTGGGGATTAGAACTCCGATCAGGTCTACGGTATCCGACCTTTTCCCGGTAAACGAATAGAAAATTATCAGCATCATAATCTTACCCAGCAAAGAACAGCTTGGTGAATTCTCAGTGACTCGTAAGGGGTTTAGTGGTATTCTAGCAGGATCTGCAAAAACAAGTTCAAAATCATTTTGTAAACGATCTGCATTCCTCGTGAGTGCGGGAAACGGTCAAAAAGTGAGCAAGCCACGGACGATGAAGTCTCTTTTTGCTTATTCTATTTGGCTTGCCAAGAGTCGACCACATAAAAAAGATTCAGTCCTCATGTGCTTAAACTTTCCATTTCAAAGAATACAGGCTGGGTTGGTTATTGAGGACTCGGGCTTTCATCGTGATATCTGTCGTATTGAGGAGGAAAATGTTCTGAAAATATTGCGAATTAACTAGTAATGGATCCCACCCAAGTCACTCAAGGGGGCTACTAGGCCAAGGCTCCTCGTCGCTTAGGATATGTGTAACCCTTGACTAATGCTCATATTCTCATTAATTTTAGTTTAATCACACCTTCATGTTCTGGCCTTGTCTTCTTAAACATTCTGAATTTCATCCAGCAAAGTACTGCAGGCGGTGTAAAAATGACGATCAAAACTATCGCTCCTCTTATTCCCAATATAATCAACAGTGTCAAAGCTTTGCTTTTTCGTCCCTGAGTCTCTTTTTTTTCCGAGAAACTTGCAGAGGCGTCGTTTCCTTTTAGTATTGGAAGTTCTACACCTTCAGGAATCGAAGTTGATACAATTCCACGATACAACGACGATGGTTGTGGCATGATGCCCTGTGTGAATTCTACGCTTGGAGCGGAACGGTTTCCTACTAACGGTGGAACTTCAGCAGACCCTGGAATTTCTGCAGACGAAAAGCTTATCAGCGATGAACGCTGTGGCTTTATGCTTGGAGCCGACGCTATACTTGTCGAGGTAGCACTTTTTATTGAAAATAAAACTTTCATAGACGCTGTAATTGCTGTAGACGAGCCACCGCCAATAGGAGATGAAAGTTGTGGCCAGATACTAGGAGTAGGCTCTATTGACAAAGTCGTGGTTGAGATTATTGCTGGGGCAGTTTCTCTGCAATCAGTGATGTGGCCATCAAAGAAATACCCTTTGGGACATTTACGGCCGCATTTGCGATTTTGGACCGAGGTGCATTCTTGAAGGACATTTCGTCGACCGCAGTTCTGACAGGGTTTGCAGCTTTCCACTCCATGGCTATCGGAGTAGGTCTTTGTTTCTTTACACTGGACACATTCTATCTTAGTATGACGTGTGATCGTGATCGATGAGCCACATTGAATGTTCAGCCCGAGACCCTCAGGGCAGTCTGGGCACGGTCTGCATTTTATGAATTCACCGCTGCTATTTACTATCCAAAAGTTTTTAGCCAATGAACATGGGGATTGACCTTCTACTACAGATGCCATCATCCAGATAAGAAGCAGACGTTCAATGGTTTTCTGAAATGAAAAATTTAATGAAGGCAATACAATTAATTATTCAAAAAATTCATGTTGTTATTCATAAAAACAGTGCATTTTAACCCGTGTGCGTCTTTTAGCCTCTGTTCGGGAATTACGCCCGCGCTCCTTCTGTCTCAGGAGGAGTTAAGAGTGGATCCGAAAAAACAGCGAAATTATATCATCTGTGACCGGAAGGAGAGATCAACCACCCAACCGGAAACCACCTGTTTCGGCATTAAACAAAACGGTTCAATCTGTAGCAAACACTAGGAGAGAAAATTGTCAACTTCCGATAGCAATCACCCCCCAAATAGCAATTACAAACCAGGCGTTGTGCGCACTCCGATTGCGTTGCATTGTGGTAGCTCCATTTCCAATATGGCGATGAAAGCGGTAGAAATCGGCAGATTTTGACAGAACGTTCCGTAGAAGTTAGGCCGTTCCTTTTTCCTTTCACCATTGGTAAATATAAAAGTTTTTTGAACGTATTCGTCGCGTATTCTATAGTTCTCAAGGACAAACGCAATCACTGTTTTTTTTTAGTATGTAATTTGAGACCAAGAAGGAAGAAGGTCAAATTTTATGTACGTCGTAGTTTGAAGCATTTCAAAGATTTGGATGGCCGCTTTGATCCTTCTTCAACAGCTCTTACCAAACGCTCTCCAACGGTAAATGTGTTTCTCGCATTTTAGGTGCTAGTGTTTGAGACTGATTATGACCGAGAAAAGGCCTATTGTTGCGTTACACAGCGTTAGTATTGTATACTCGATTGTGTTGTAAATCTACTTTTCTAGGTAAAAGCAAACTAGCTAATCGCGAGTTTTGTATGGTAAATCTACTTTCTGGATCATTGAATGAAGGACAGTTGAATTAGAACAATGAAAGGAGTCACCTGACCACTGAATAACTCTACAATGCACACGGCGACACGCCGGGTAAGCTGGAAAGCAAAAAGCAGTCGTTAAAAGGTGTTGATAGGCTTGTGCGAATCCTGCCATTTGCTTGCGCTTTTAAATCTTCTTCAGGTTCTGACCTGAAAACTTAGCTGTTATTAAGATATCTTTAAACGACTTTCCTTTGCGATGTGATAATAAGAGTTAGTTTCCTGTCATTTCCCTGTCTGTACGTTCTTGAGGTTTGGCAAAGCATGGTAAAAAGGTAATATTTTCATGTGTACGCGCTATTTTCTCTGTTTTCAAGTACATACTGTCTCTCCCGCAGAAGATAACTCCAGAGATACGGTTTTCAAAACCTTATTCTGAGTATTCTTTATTCTTTTAAGCATATTTGAACATCTGCACGTTTTTTAATTAAACGTTAAGCGTGACGAATTTGGGCTTCTCCTTTCGCGAATCCCGTATTTACGCCTTTAGGTGTATGACATGAAAAATAGTGCGTGTATTTTGGACCATTTTTTGGAACAATTTCTTTTTGGACCATTTTTTTTTGGACCATTTTAAAGGGGGGAGCACACCATTAGTACTGAGGTATGGGTGGGATAAAGTCTATCAGTACTGAGGGAGGGGTAGGAAGCAGAGTGTTATTATCCAGGGAGGGGCGAGAGACGGACAATTACTACGCAGGGAGGGGTGGGAGGTGGTTGTGATAGTAAACACTACTGGTTAATGGAGCTTTTAATCGATCATACAAACTATTTTAATTGGTTTTTCGACTGAATTTTTGTATTTCTAAATTTTAGCGCTGGGCCGCTGCGTTTCTTCATTTTTTTGTTATGCGAAAGCGAAACTGCCACGTAAACACCGGACTTTAATTTTTATTGAAAGAGAGAGGGAATTAATAATTCCGTATTTATTACGCAGAAAACTTTGGTTGAAGCTAACGAAACACATGATTTTTCTTTTAATCCTGAAAAAGGCATGTAGTGAGCTTCAATATCATTTTGGCTAGCTAGAGAAATGATCATATGGTAATTTGCATTTAAATAATCACTTAAGTTCTATGCAGTGGCGAAGAATCTAGATTTAATTTTTCCAGAACAAAATATACAGGTAAACGTTGTCAGTGAGACTACAGGGCAAGCAGAATTATTGTTTACCATTACTGCTAAAAGTTTACTGTCGACAAAAGTAAGACTTTATAGATTTCAACCAGGCAATTTGCGAAAGAAAATAATGTGCTAATTCAGCTTAATTTTAAAAAGATTGAAAATAACGCAAATCGTTCTCTAATTTACACTGGTACATAATTAGAAGCTCTAAGAGGATGAATGGTTTAAACAGTATAAGGAACACTTACCATTTTGATATCAACGAGAAACTCCTTTTAAAAGAGACTTGAGACGTGATATCAGTTTCTGTAAACAAAGAAATACGAATTTTAATTTATATCGGCTGTGATGCGTACTGCCGGGCAATGCAGTGTTTTGAGTTGATCTCCGATGCGCTTGGCTAATTTTAGGTCTTTAGCCTCTGCATAATTTAATATGATCTTTTTAAGAGCACTTTTATGAAACTATATATGCCTTTACGAAGGAAAATATCTTAAGTTAAATTTTTCATTCCCTGCAGGGCATGAGTACAAATCAGCATTGATAAATCTGTCTAGAACACTGAGAATAGACATTACGTGTAGCCCGCCATGAGCGAGAGACCGTGAACATGATAATCCTTGTGATGATAAACATTAAGAATTCCTGTCACCTCTCGGCCGATTTTAAAGCTAAAAATCATTTTATGAAATATCGCCGACCTAAAAAATTTTATTCCTTGCTAAAACTAAGAAATGATTGCTACTTAGTTGTATTTTTAGAACAGGAAAATTTCGAACGGTGAGTTTATCAGAATGCGGGGCCGTTCTGGAGTGGAACTCAAAAGAAAAAAAATAGTTTTATTCAATTTCTTGAATATCTTTTGTTTTTCAAATATTCCACGGTGTTTTGACAATTATTTTTTGGAGAGGAAAAAATTCAACCTAGCGGTCTAAACTTGGCATAATTTGAAGTACGTAACTTAAGCGATGTGTGAAAGTATTCAAAGTAAGAGAAGTTTAGAAAAGTATAGTGCATATAACTGGAGACTTTCTTTCGTTTTCTATAGTCCTCTTTGGGTCCGTGTTGGAGTTAACACCATTCTTAATACCTATTTTCGTTAAAAGTCACGTTAAACAAGTTTCCACTTTGGGGATAATTCCCACAGTTACTTGTCAGCGGGCCTAGCAAAGGGAATATGTATTGACCAAGATAGTGAGCTTTCAGTCATACTATTACGTGTTTGTTCTCAACGGTGGAAAAAAATTCACATAAATATTATAACCTTTACCTGAGAAGGTTTTTGAAGAGCTTTATTGATCAGGAGAAAGCGGTTTACCGTCACTGTGCAAACAAAGTTTAGGAATACGTCCTCCGAAATGCTTACTTCTTTGATGTCCTAACTTCGCAAACATTCCGCATTTTTGAAGGTATGCACACTCTATCTCCTGATGTACAAAGTTCTGACTTCGAAGACTTTTTCACTTAGCTTTTTTTTCTTGATTGACCGTCTAGCTTGGAAATCTGCCTATTCCTATAAAAAAAATTCTAACCCCAATGACCTTTTCAATCGATCAGCTTTTTCCATTCAGTGAAGTCGCTGTGAGATTACTGATGCGTTTAACCTCTCTTCAAGCTATTAAGAGCTCGTTCACCCCTTTTAAATTAAAAAGAATTTAAAACAAAATTGTCTGTACCTGAGAAGGTTTTCTTTTCGATCTTGATTTCTCGACAGGAAGCAGTCGCCGAAGCCGTAAAAGAAATACAATGTAGTCGCACGCAAGATAATGAGCGTATTTTTCGTCCTGACACTACAACACTGCAATCTGTACTACCACACTGTCGTTCGAGCTCTGTTTGAGGCGGAGAGCTTATTGTATGACTCATTCTGTAGGTTAGGAAGAAATCCTGCCATCTGATTGGCTGATAAATTTAGACCAAATCTTTCTCTGAAATTTTGTCTCCCTGTTGCTATGGTCAAGTGTTCATGACGTCACCCTCTTGTGCAAGACTTCACGCACACACAGCAGCGAGATTAGCTTTTCTCTTTGAAACACAATACACTCTATTATTACAAAGTATAGCATACTCATACTCGTTTGCAATCACGATTACATGACGGTGTGCTTTTTGATTCTTGAAGTATGCTCACAGTATGAGCAACAAATAAATCGCTTTTTGCCAAATTAAGTCACAGCTGTCCTCCGCTTGAGATATCTCGCCACCTTATCAGTGCTACAGGTGTATATTGGATCGCAATATTAATTGCTTACGCAGCTTTGACAGAATATTTCTTTACTTGGGGATGACGCAAAGTGAGACGACAGAAGGCGGATCAATCAGTCATTTGATCGTCCTCTGATCATGATCGTCATCCCTCATGATCGTCCTCTGTTACACGTAGGTTTGCGCTAGATCTACGGAAACCTCACAGGAAAAAAAACAGGATGCAATTATTACTGCATTTGTGCATCGCAGTTGCAACCTTCAAAAACACAACCACGATGGGCGTTTCAATCAGCTTTGTTATTTTGAAATCACTTGAAGATCACTTATGCACCTAGCCTGCGAAAGTTTGACAATTCAACTCGCGAGTTCATACTCCAAAATAAATGACCGCTTTCGCTTTTCGGGTGGTCTAGAGACACGACATCATTGATGTGTTTGAAAATGGACACTTCTCCTCCATTTTCCGCCAAGGGTAAATTAAATAACACTTAATTGTTTGAAAATGAGGTATTTAACCTCTGCATTATTAAAATATGTTAAAATCTGCGACCAGTAGTTTTATGAAAAATAACGAAATCTTTTTATGAACACTTTTACAGAAGTATAAATGCTCTTACGGAGACAAACATGTTGAGTTAAATCTGTTTTATCTACAGTACAAAGAGTATAAATCAGCCTGAATAAGCTTTGTTAAGCAGAATAGACATGACATGCCTGTCGTAAGCGACCGAGATTGAGAGATCATAATTGAGATCATAGCTATTGAGAACGTGCCACTTCTAAGCGATTTTAACGCCGAATAAACATTTTATGAAATATTGCTGAGCTAGAAAATCATAGCCAAAACCAACAAATAATTGTAAACGAGCTGTTTTTTTTTTTTAACAGGATTATTCTGTTTGGTGTGTTTACTGAACCGGATGCGAGCTTGCTTATGGGAAAACACGACTTTCTTCTTTTTTAATCACTTAATTTTTTTAAATATTCAACAGCAGTGAAATGTCGATTATATGTTGGAGAGAAAAAAAATCCCCTACGTTGTCTTTAGTTGGCATAATTTGAATCCTCTTTTGATTTAGGTCTAATATATTTTTTAGAAGTATAGCAAAATGTTTAATTTCCAAAAAATATGTTTACTTAATTTTAGTCTGTTGTCATCGTGGCTAATATTCTTGATTCGTGAAACACCAAAGGCAACCGTAAGGAGAATGAAGCTAATTCTGCACCCTTGAATATCAACTGAACTACTACACAGCTCTTGTTTTAGCATTTTAAACGGTACAGGGCGAGTACAGGAACTGTCAATGTTCGATTTCAAGTCTGACCTCAGACATAACAACAACAAACGAACAACAAATCAAAATGCTGGGATTTGGTTACGAAGGTCATATGAAAATTTGGCTCAACTCTCACGTCATTCTCTCGAGAGAAGGGAAAATACACCTCTAAGAATAAATATGTACTACACAGCTCATTTTGCGTGTGATTGAAGGCGAAAAATTCAAATTGTGTATGTTCAGAAATTAAGCATTATTTCAAATGCAAAATTTCACAAAGTCTAGCCACAGGAGGGGTGGTGAATGCTGAAATCCAAGACTCGTGAGACGCTGAAAATTCGAAACCGAGAACTCTACAGTTATTACCATCACTTCATTCGCATTCTTGTGTGGTACCGTAATAAATAAGGGCAAAGATATTGCATCAGAGTTTAGACATTCTCTATACGTTCCTTTTAGCGATATATCACCTTTTACATCGCATTAATTATGGACGATTGAAGGTGATCATACACAGACCTTAGTTGATCACAACCACAACTCCAAGCTACTTTACATTTAGATCCTCGCCTGTAAGAGCAAACCCTACACTTAAAGAACTTTGAAAGAAACTTGAGAGATATGAAGATTCATCGCAAAGGTCAATGAGGTTTCAAGATAGGATAAAATTAGCTAGGTGGATCGCACGATTTTTCAGGTATCATTTGCTAACACTGGTTAGATTAGATAGTTATGCAAATTTGTGTCTGAGTAGTAGGAATAGTGCAAGGAAGTGGAGCGAGTTTGGCAAATAGCCGCTTAAGTTTATCAGAACTTGACTCTTTTTTAATCATCGATGACTGAAAGCATAATTCGACCAAAACTATTAACTAGCAATGCTATTCAAGGTCTTTACCAAAGACTTGCAATAATTTTTGTTAACGACGCACAGTTCACCGTGACTATTTACGAAGAGAGGAAGTATGCTTGCTCGACATGAATTGCATATGACGAAACAGGAAAAAATGCCGATCTCAAGCACATTCGTAAAAAGCTTTCAAGAAAGATAGCTTCTGACCGACTATGATTCAAAATCACTGTGTTTGATATTAAGGGAAATCTCTTCAGAGTCTTGAGGTTTAATGTTACGTTCTGCAAACTACGCATTTCGCCACCAGCCGTGATATTTACTGCCTGAAATCTCCAGCTCTATCCCTATTCCCCGCCAAGAAACACGCAAACTGAAGCTTTTGCAGGCTTGGTAATAAATGATGATCAAACCTTTGACAGGTAAGGTAAACCTTTTGCCATTTAAGGCATACACGTACCAAAACACAAGGCTTGATTTCGTGACAATTTGACTCTTGCGCTACAGTCTCGATGAGAGTTGCTTTTTGGCAATTTAGTTAAAGTTGTCCTCTGCTTGTGGTAATTCACCACGATATTGGTGCCTTGGTCCTATTTAGTTCGAATTGCACCAGGTTATGGCTCCTGATTACACCAAGTAATAGTACTAGATGCTTACGCAGCACAAAAAGCAGTCTTCGATTTTATTTAAGCGATGACATATGCGAGTGGGCGGACCACGCAATCGTGACCCATCCGGTGTCACATTTCTTAGATGTTTATCTATCTCGATAGCTCGTCTCTCTAAATTTAAAGACTGTGAAGATCTGTGCTTGTGTCCGTTTTCAACCTAGTATCTAACCACGATGAAAATTTAAATCAGATTTGTTATGTTGAAATCACTTCCAAGTCAATGATGACTGATGATGCAATTCACGATATCTCAATTTCCGCAAGCGACACCTTTCTAGAGGGTCTTAGAGAAATACCTAAAACGTGACATCATCGGTTTGTTAGAAACTAGGCCCACATGCAAATTTTCTAGAAGTTTCCAGTCCACGGACTTGAACAAGTTCACACTTGTCCAACGGAGATCTTTGATCAAGAACACAAATAACCTCATTTGCATGTATCGCCAAAAATAACAATTTGACAATATATAAAAAGGAAAAGGATAAAGGAAAGTAATTTTTCAGACCCTTGGGAATGCGGGGTTTCCCCTAACATTGCGTCATCAAATCAAATAGGATTCCACGGGGGCATTATTTGCTTGTGAAATTTGCTGGCTCACTGAAACAGACTGATTACTCCCGAGAATCAAGATCGTTTTAGAAGCCTTCTCAGGTATGAGTTATTTCCATTTGGATAAATATTTTCAAACTTTTTTCGAACAATTACAAATAGCACAACAATTCGCGTTGTGATAGCCACATTCAACTGTTCTTCCGTCAAACCTCAATTCAACTCAGTTTTGCCGACTACGCAACTGACGGAGTCATCCCTACAAGGAAATTTATATTGCGAAACATTTGTAACGGAAATAAGTACTCACAACGGGGAGATTTTAAAAACGAATATAAAAAGGAAGTGGTAGGCGAGCGAAAGACTTGGCACACAGAATACTTACCTGTACCTTTTGATCTTTGAAATAGGTATTCAAAAGAATAAAATTTAATTGTGTTGATAGAGTTTATTTCTTCTCGTTTGGGTAGGAGAATGCATTCTGTCTCTCTTTGTCATCCAAGAACAATGACTGGTAAATTTACTGCGCATTAACTGAAAACTAAAAATTACCATGCATTTGTTCAAATTTATGTTTTTTTTAAAAGGTTTCTTAGATTTTAGTTTGATTACATCACTGTTTTTTTTTATTCTCGGCAGGTCAAAGTACAAGAAACGTACGTCATGTCTGCTATACCTAATACAGATTTGTTTGTGACGATTTCAATTCTTTACATGGTAGGTTGATAAGCAAATCTTCATTAAAAATATTTGCCTCCTGGTGTAACTCAAAACACGAAGTAAGCCATGTTCAATTATGCATGGCAAAAAGATTTCGTTGAATGAATATTTATCAGTTTTTTGCATTACAAAAAGACCATCTAAACTATTTCCGAGAGCGGTTAGGATTAATTCATGAACGGAAAAAGTGTTTCCTTTGCGATTGTATTATTTGAAAAATGCAGACAATTCGCTAAAACCCAACAAACTTCCCGATCATCTAATTAAAGATTAGGCAACCTATTTTAGGGATCGAGCAAGGACTTTGCTTTAAAGGAAGTACTTCGTTGAACCCGACAGCTGTAAAGAAAGCGAAAGCAAAACGTGTTTGGGAGCTTGTTGACTTGTTTTTGTATTTACTTTTTTCTTTCCATTTTTTTACTTATCTTTTAGCCTTGGATAAGGTTTTAATGATATTCGCAGCTATTTCAGTGATTATTTTTCAAATCCGCAACCAGTAAAGAATTATTT